ATTCTCACGATGCAGACTGAGCTGCTGCCTGTTGATAGGCTAGTTGATCTTGATTATGCGAACAATATTGTCCTGCTTTTTAACCACGACGGAATCAACCCTGAATAACCTCTATAAAGTGATCTCACTATTTGGTATGCTCTTCGCACCTTCAAAGTGCAAAGTCTTGCTGCAGGTTCACCGGCCACTTAATGATTCCTTGACCCTTGCTAGCGAAGAACTCGAGGTAATTGATCGATTCACTTACCTTGGCAGCTTTATCAGCAATGATAACTGCATAGCTACTGAGGTCAGTTCTCGTATTGCAAAAGTCAGAACTGCCTTTTCGAATCTACTGCATCTGTGACGTCAAAAAAGTGTTTCTCTCCGTCTGAAACGCCGTGTATACAATCCAACAGTGAGATCTGTCCCACTCCATGAGACTGTGACTTGGACCCTTCGGTCTGAAGATTTGAGGCGCCTTCAAGTCTGATCATCGCTGTCTGCGGAGCATTGCTGGTGTCTGGTGACACCAGCATGTCCACAACAATGATATGCGTAGGCGAGTGCTAGGCAGTGATAACCAAGGTAGTTCCTTTGAACAACAGATGGCACTGAATAAGTTGCGTTGGCTTGGGCACGTCCCAGGTATGCCCGGTCACTGCTTACCGAGAAGGGCCTTATTTAGTCTGCCAGATATAGGGTGGCGCAAGGCTCGTAGTGGACAAAGGTTACTTTGGCAACGGGTAATTGCAGTCACTGACAACCAAACGGTGCCTTCGGTCCGTCTCGCCTTCCAAGCTGGAGTCCACGTGATCCGCCTTGTCCTTGGCTCGAGACTTTACTGGACATGGATCGCAGTCTGCATCAGTGGCGTATCTGCTGCCGTCTCCTAGTCGGACTGTCTGTTTACGTGTGTTTGGTGCTGAGTTACCTGCGGGGTAATGGCTGATTATGACGCGGGGCAGTGAAAGCCGCAAGGAATCTGTCTCGCCAATGCCGCGTAATCTTTGCACGATAGCCAACTGTCTGTGATGGTATGTTGTTGATAAGGTGTAGGCGCCTTGACCCTGAATGTTTGCTTAGGGCATTAAGGTTTTCAGGTAAGTCCCCTTTCTCTCCCTCTTATTATTCTTTGTTCCGTAGGTCGTTATGGTTGTATGGTAGCGAAGCATCAGTTCAAATGGTTGAAGTACTGCTGTTGATGATGATGATGGTGATGCTCTCTACGAGAATGCATCATCGTGCCCGGTAGCCCACGGGTTACGCTTGTATTTATTGTGATTATGATTAGTATGATGAGTTCGCTGAAATTAGAGCCCAGACGAGCAATTGTGAAACAAATCGGTGGAAAATCATAGGCCGTTAGCAGTCACGTTTTTGGCTATTCGTCCTACTTTATACGATAGAATAACTTGACTGTCTCCTGGCTGCGCGAAGGCCAGTCGCTTCGTTCTATTGTGTTGCTGGAGTACCTGAAACTAGATCACTGAACGACTCCGTTGCTGAGCAGTGGCTTATTTTGTGTTGTAATTCCTAGCGGTAGTAAATGATGCAGTATTAACCAGCTAATCAACGAGATGGTCTCTTGAGTAGACTTCCACACTGCCCAGTCCACAGAGAGACATACAGCACTCAAAATGATACCAAAACCACCGCACCGATTGGTCATTGTGTGTGTGTGTGTCTTCCAATTTCGGCCAACCAGACTTATCCCCATAAACACCATTTTTGCCTGCATACATGGCCAACTGTTGCTGGTCACCAAATTCACGGCCCTCCGTGCGGCCGGGGCTTTCTCTCGCGAACTGCTTAACCCTACTCCCTGTTATTCTGATCCTATTCCTCATGGTCCCTTACCCGTTGTCCGTCGCAACGAGAGTAGACCTTAACGTTATGTGACGATTTTCGTACCTCTTAGACTCATTGAGCTATACTGGCTAGTGCTTCTGGGTCCGTTGAGAGCTACTCCTCCCAGGTTGGTTACAGCTCAAACCAACAGTCTCCTATTCCTCCAAATTTGGAGTTTGAAATGGGATGGCGTCAATTTCTATAAAACTGATACGCTGCTCCCCACCTCTCCGCTGCTTTGCAGACAGGCTATTTAGTCAAAGGTTTTGGTTGCTGATTCTAATCGTACTTCCGCTTAAGTTTGCCTGCCTTGATAATATGTCAGCTCACGTATAAACACAACTGTTTCACTAAACTTCAGCCACATTCTGCATCGGCCGTCACGCAGCTTATCAAACGTCACCTTGTCAGCTGCATACAGCATGGCGGATAAGCTAAGACATGCTACTGTTGGCGTTTCCATGCTTTCCCTTCCACCTTTTTCCCGTACTCGCCCCCCCCCCCAATCCCCATTACCAACCTTCTTTCTGTAATTCCCATCTTCATTGACAGCAGACGCTATTCCACCGGAGTTACATCATCACCAGCTATCTTCACGCACTGTCTATTGAACGACAATCACTAACAGCCTTTCGTAAGGTCACGCAGTCTCGCTTCACCGGCGTTTAACGTTCGCACTCTAAGACACATAGGTCAACAGGTTTCATCCGCACTCACGTTGGGCACATTAGGTATTAACGGGTGTTGTGTGTCCGAAACTAAGGTCAGTGACGCCCAAGGCTGTGTTGAACTAAGTGCGCCTGGCCTGTCTTCTCGCTATTTACTGCATGCATCCGGAGATGCTGATGCGGCAATCACTGGTCAAGCTGGAGTGGGCCTTGTTCTCAGCTCCAATGCTGAGCCATCATTCATTAACTCAACTTTTGTAAGCAGCCGTTTGACGATATCAACTCGGGTTGAATCACGAATTAGTGTTAGACGCTCTTAAGTACAGTGGGCGCCAAGTGCCACTTGGCGACCACCTAAAGTTGACCATCCATGGATCCAAATAGATCACTTTGCCTTAAGTTACAAGGGGCGTGGTTCTATTCTGGATTGTCACTCGTTCTGGAGTACTTGTGTCGACTCTAATCATGCTTGAGTACGCTGTCGGTTTTCCATGAACTTTACCGGGAGATATACCAAGCCCCCCTCACGATTGGCAGCTGTGAAGTTATTCCAGTCCCGGCCAAACAAGCCTACTAGGATGCCCTGTGTACCGAACTTTCCCTCTCTCACCTCAGTGACACTAGACTTCTGTGGGAAAGGATTTGGTCCCTATGCATGACGCTGGAACCTCTGCTTGCGACATTATCAATAGTAATCACACAAGTTAGTAAATATCCGAGATGTCGGTGGACATGTCGTAAGCCAGTGGAAAACCCTACTGGCTTCTGCGTGTGCGCGAAAGACGGCGCGATAGGATCTACGCCACGATTTCCTATTTGTAAGGCAGTTGCCGGAAAATAGGTTTTCGTTCCGCCGTCTAGACTGCAGGTGTCCCTCTTTCGCCTCATATTGGCATTAATGAAACTCTGCGTAACCATTATCTTTAAGCTTTGAACATATGCGCTATAACTTCGAAAAGATTATTCTTCGAACGGATTCCTTCTGCTTGGTTCACTAAACTGAAGACCAGGTCTCGGCTAATCCTAAGAGGCACAAAACTTTGATAGTTTGTGTACGGCTCACACTCAGGAGCGCCTTCTCAGTGTCAAGGATGCAAACCCGGTTCACCAGCAGAGGTTAGACTAAACCTCAAAGACAAGCTGCCTTTCTATACTAAATCAATGTGTATTTACTCGTTCACCTGTTCCCGTGGAGCAGGCAAGGTGAAGGAACACTATCCGACCTAGTTCGGAAATGGAGGTCGAGAGGTCACCAACTCTACCATCGCCGCGCATATTTCGGCTATGGGACACGCCACCAAGTCGGCTACTTTATTCAAACTAATCTGTCAAGCCACCGAAATGGATCAATGTATTTCCGCAAGTGAATATTAGACGCCGCAGCAGCCATTGCAATTTGACTGTATGAACCAGGGCTATACAAGCAGAAAAGAGGTTCACTCGGGCATTGAGTCTACTCCGGCCTAAACGGATCGCAAGTGATGCGTGCTAGCATGTGACGACAGCGAGAACCCGACTTATGGTGCTTGTCATCGCTTGTTAGAATTAAATTACTGATGGATGACCCGTTGGGTTTGTCTACAAATTTTCGTTTTCATGTGATTTTACAAGCCTGATAATGAATTACCGAAAACATGTTCGCTTACACAGACTTTAGATCGATCCATGGGTTTTTTCAATTCAACAAAGGGACAATTAGTATTGTGCCACCGCCTACCAAGTCAATGATTAAACCGCACACTGGAAGCTGTACGCATAAAGCCCCAGTCTCCCAGCCTCATCTTTCCTCATAAATGTTCATAGCTATCTCATCGCCACTGGATTCATCAGGTGTACCAGCATCTGCAGCTTAATCTACTGTGTGGGTCGAAAATGGGTACATTTTTGTTGTATTGGTTTAAAAAATTTCCTTGTGATGCTCTGCACTCTTAACAACCTTTATCATTTAAGCAATCCAAGCTCCAACCTCCTTCATGTTTCTGTTGACTGGAATTCACATACCATATATCCAGTTCTGTCCTGTATACCCCTATTATCGTGTACTTAAATTCGATCCTCTCTACCCCCTATTCCTTGAGTTGTAACAGGAATTCCGTTAATAGTCGTCGTTGGCATGCAGATTTGGGGTATTTCGATTCCCATGCTTCTTATCTCACTTTTCTTTTCCGGCGTGCCGAACGGTCCGCGCATTTTATGCATTTGGCTTCACACTTCACTGTTTTACGGTTTAGCTTTTTTGATGGTGACAACTTCAAACCTTTATTCCGCAACCTAAGCACTCGCACGTTATCTGAGCAGTTGTGGCCTGGACAATTGTGGTGTCTTCTTACACACTAATTAGGCCCAGTTCTTTAGATGGCAATGACTATCGGGATTAATTGTCACTCCTTTCCCAACCACACTTTCACATCCGAATTCGTCGAAGTTTCGTCACTCCTATTTTACCATTCGTGTTTTGCATTTCCAAATGGTATCCTCACTTCTGATTCCCTTCTTCTCTAGGGCATGCTATGGTATTGGACCATTAGCAATCTGATTTCTCTCATTCAGTCGTTCGTGTTACGAGTTCCAGTTGTTCGGAATTGGTTGCAGCTCCCTGCCCCCAAAAAACCACTGAAGACGATTAAAAGCTCTCGGGGGTTCTTCGAAGGTGTCAAAGAGAGTAGGTCTCATAATTTGCAATCGTCGAGTTCTACTTCTGAAAAGCACTAAATGTCATCTGTCTCCCATGCTTTCAACTTCCCCAATGCCGAACTTTCGTTTTCCTTCTGTCCTTTTTTTATCACACTTTATCTCTGCTTCTCTATATTTGTCAACATTTTCGCTAGCTTTTTATCCAAGTTTTGGGAATCTGCGCTCAATGAATCCTACATTTTCCAAATTTCCAAATTTTTGTCTTGTTGTCAATTTTCAACATTTCTATTTCTGTAGTGGCACAGCTGGTTGTTTACACTTATTGAATATGATAGCTACTCAGCTCAACGAAAACCTTTTCAGAGTGGAATATCCTTCATAATTCGCAGTTACTGACACTTCGCACCTGCACGCAGGTGTCCTAGCATATGAGTCCTTGCATTCATTCCGATGAATGAATGAAGAAAACTCAGAAAGCATAAAAAGTTTTCCAGCTAATTCCTTTTGGGGAAGAATGACTTCAGATATTGAATTACAAATCTGCTTGGTTTGCGTACTTTAAATGACCGTTATGACGCAATTATCTCAATTATGCCTGGTCATTAAACAGTTGTTGACTATAAATAGTTAGTGACGGATGCGTCTTCCGTAGCTGGCTTAAGGATCTTGCCGATGGAACCATACGGAAATGCGCTCAATACGAGTCGCAGTTCAAATTAGTATCAGTGAATGAGTCTGACTAACCTGAAAAGCTAAGAAATTAGCAACTGGACAGCGTCTTACTTCGTTTTCGAATATACGATTTAATTAGCTGAGATGCTATTTTTGACAACCGATTCTCGGTGTCGCTATCTATGCTTTGGTGTGGGCCTCATCATTCATCTCGGAGACTTATATCTGCTAACGATATATATATATATATATATATATATATATATATATATATATATATATATATATATATATATAAGCATCGTTCCAGTAAGCTACCAGCCGGCTACTAGGCAAAAAGAAAAATTATTATGTTTTCCGCTACGAAATGAGATCGTAGATGGAGGGGGAGGCTAAAAGTGATGGGGAGGGACAAAGAAACTCACAGCACGAACGCCACTGAGGTCGGTTCCTTGCCATGTCAGCAAGTGTATCTAACCAAACCTGTTCATCGTCTTTTGGACCCCAACCAGGGAGCCGTGACGCTCCAATCGAGGCCAGCTTCGAAGTGAGGGCCTTCACTCCTCTCGGCCAAGTCATCGCTTGGCCACCCCTCCTCCTCTTCCATCCACAATCCAGGCGCACAAACAACGCCCGTCGCGGGAGTCGGTGGACTGGCATGCGCAACACGTAGACGAGCCATCGGAGCCTGATGCGTGAAATGACAGTGCTGAGAGGTTCAGTTCCATTTTCTGTGCCGTAAACAAGGCGTCGAACACGCACGTTACTCACGCGGTGTTCCCACCAGATGTGAGCCAAACTGCGAAGGCACCGATGGTCGAACGTAACTAGCCTCTTCATGTCCGCCGATCTTAGGGGCCAGGTTTCGCAACCGTACAGTAGCGTCGAACGTACCGCTGCATTGTACACTCTACCCTTCAGGGCGAGAGTAATGTCTCGCCGCGGCCATAGGTGGCGAAGGTTAGCAAAAGTACTTCGAGCTTTTGCTATACGGTTCATGATCTCATCTTAATCCCAAGGGCGCTGATACAACTTTCCGGGTAGTTGAATTTCCGAACGACTTCTAGCTGATCCCCACCAAGAATCAGCGTAGGAGGCGATCCGTGCCATTGTTGCAGGAAAGCTTTGCATTTCGATGGTGCAAAGCAAAGCCCGAAGCGGCTGACAGCCAGTGTTAATCTGTCCAGCGCGGTTTGGCACACCTGGGACTTGTCACAGATGAGGGCAATGTCGTCTGCATACTGCAAGTCAAGAAGTCGTTCTCTTGAGAGTAGCTCCACACCTTCTAAGTCATGTCCTGTAAATGCAATCTTTAAGACTTCATTAATAGCGAAGTTGAAGGAGAAAGATGACAGCGGGCATCCTTGTCTCACACCGCTCGAAATACTGTAGGGTAGTGACAGCTTGTCATAATTCTTCACTCTGACCGTACTACGCGCGTATAACGCTCGGATAATATTTACATATTTCTCGGGCACCTTTCCTGAGTCGACACTTCCAAAGGGTACATCGATCAGCCGAGTCGAAGGCACCTATGATGTCGAGGAACACGAATATGGTGGGCCGCCAATATGTGTGACGGTGCTCCAACAACTGACACAAGGTGACGATGTGGTTGATGCAACCACGACCCAGACGAAACCCGGCTTACTCCTCACGAATCTGGCTTTCATGAGCGCCAGTCAGTCTGTGAAGGATTATAGAGGCGAGTAATTTGGAGGCGATGGAGACCAGACGGATTCCTCTATGGTTGCCGCATTCCGAACGCGAGCCTCCTTTGAAGACGGGAACAATATCGGAGCGGCTCCAGTCGGTTGGGCCAGTTTCTTGCTCCCACAGTTTCACTAGAAATTCATGTAAAGCATCAACAGGAACAGAGCCTCCGAATTTGAAGAGAGCTGGTGGAAGAGCATCTGGTCCCGCGGCTTTGTTCAACTTTAACAGTCCGATCTCATGTTCGACTGCTGAGCGAGATGGTGGATCAAAAGAGACAGCCCACGGAGCAGGGTGATCACTGGCCGGCGAAGAATCGAACAATTCTAGTCGATTAAATTGCTTTTCCAGATGCAGCCCAACGCTCCAAACGTTTTGACAAATTGTGGATAGGCTGTCCACTCTCGTCACGTTAACACCAGGTCTCCTGTTGCCCGTTTCCCGTATCAGACGGTATAACTTACGATGGTTGTCAATGGCAGCGGTCGCGTTCATCTCTGGCGCACGATGAGATCACCAAGATTCGCGTCTCTCCTCAGACTTGCACGGGGTCTTTGGCGGAGCTCTTTGCGAGTTTCATTGTGTTCACTTCCAGCCGGAATATGCCGGGAAGCGTCGATGAGCTCAAGAGACCGCGATGAGACCCAGTATCCGTGTTGGCTATTAGACATACCACATGAGGATTTGCCCGCTGCTAGTAATGTCTGGCGAACATGTGACCAGTGACCATCAATTGTCTCCAGTGAGCGCTTACTTAACTCGCATGTCAGCGTACTCGGATACGCATTCAGAACAGCTGGTTTTGTCAGTTGGCTGGTGTCAATGCGCTCACAGCGTCGTCGTGGGCGTCCGCCAAAACGCATCCACAGCTCAGCACATACAAGTGCATGGTCAGCGTCCACACATGTGCTCTAAATCGAGCGACAGTTCTGGATGCAGCCTCTCCAGCGGTAACTGATAGAAATGTGATCGATCTGCGTCCAAGGCTGATTCGAGGCTGGTGGGCGCCAAGTCATCGTCCGGTGGGTGCTGTGTCGGAAATTAGTGCTCGCAAGAAATAAGCGAGCATCTTCACACAAATGAAGTAACCGCTCACCGTTATCATTACGGCAGCCTACACCGTGCTGACCCCACAGATGCATTTCATCAGTGGACAGCTTTCCAACTTGTACGTTCAAATCCCCCGCCAGCACAACAGTGTCCGTACTTTTTCTGTGGTGGTGGAGCTGGATCAGTTGGCGTTAGAAGTCGTTCTGTAACGAATCATCGCGAAAGTTTGTGGGCGCATAGGCAGCGATGATGAATGGACACCTATTAGTCCCCAGCGACTTCGAAGCTTTGAATGAGCCAGCCAATTGGACCGCACACATCCGGCTACTGATCGGGATCCAAGCAACCAGAGCAGTTCCAGCCCTGGAACTCAAAGCGATATCAACGCCGGCTTGGCCGGTGCTCGAAGTTGCATCGTCACCGGAGAGGCGCAGTGAGAAAATACTGCTTGCGTCACCTGCAGGGGATTGCAAAGTGAGTACAGAGCTCGAGTCTTGCAGGCGGATCTCCGATAGGCAGCAGATATCGATCGAGAGGGTCTCTAATGGTCGGGAAAGTGCTGCCTGTTGACCGATCTGTAGTAATGTGCGTACATTGAGGCATACGAATCTGGAGGAGGATCGAGGGCTCCAAATGGAAGCGGATGAACTGGAGTGGACCGCTTGGTTGGTCATGGGCTTGTCGACAGGAGAGGAGTGACGCTCCGCGTTAGTATGTGAGCTGAAATTAGAAGATAAATGCCTAGCAATGCATGTTGGCGGTGGGCCAAAAATTGGGGGTTGGAAACTGGGTTGATAAAAGTGAAGTTGGAGTGGGACGGTATGAGTGAAAAAGCGTAGGGGGGTAATACGGAGACGAAAAGCCTTGAGCAGTAGCATGCAAATCCCTATCCACCCTGCTCGATGCAGCAGATATGGCATCGTTGAGTGTGCTCTGCGGTGACCTGAGCATCAAGAAATTGTTTGACAAATGATTCATAGTATTGCGTGAGCAGGATACTGTCAGGTTGCCCAGGCGTAGACAGGAGAACGATTAGGTTCTCAACCGAAGCCTTTGGTTCAAAAACTTTACCGCAAGGCAGCGGGTTTGACGTTGGGCTACGGAGTCTGTTTTAAAGAAAAAGACACAGCCGTTTCACTAACCCCCAACATGGAGGACCAGGAGGCTGAGTTTGTCTGGCCTCTAACCATTGAGCAATCTGGTATGAGTAACTCTGTAGGTGCAAAAGCACCACGCAGCATAGCTCAGTGGATCGCTGAGGCTCACAGATCATCGCATCACGGTAAGTTCCAGTCACTCTACCCCGGATTCCACTGCAATATCCACCAATCATAGGTTTATTTTTGGAACAGTCTGGTTTCGGCTTGCGAACCTCTTGTTTCCTTATGCTTTGTCTAACCACCTCAATGAGAGTGAATTTCAGCGTGGTACAATGGCGTGCTTACTCACGTTCTCCCTAAAGTTGCACCGTGCGCCAGTTTTCTGATGCATCTAGAGCCACCGGGAGCTCATTAGTTGAAGGTTGGAGAATCCCAACCCCACAAAACTCCTTGCCCCACAACAAGTTATTGAACAGTCATTTGCTCTACCATC